CGGGGGTTGGGGCCATGAGAGGTTGGCTGGCCAACTGCCCACGGCCCCACCCCCCGGCCAGCCAATCCCGCCCGCTGGTCGAACTCCCTTTTGAGGGGACAATTTGCATGTTAGCCTTTTATTATATAACTGGCTGGCTTGCCCCCAGGCTCAGATGGAGCGGCTGTGGAGAGGGGCAGTGTCGGGGGACAGTTGGCTGGTCAGCCCCACCCCTAATTGGGGTGGGGTTGGGGGCCGATCGGGGAAAACGGGGGTTGGGGCCATGAGAGGTTGGCTGGCCAACTGCCCACGGCCCCACCCCCCGGCCAGCCAATCCCGCCCGCTGGTCGAACTCCCTTTTGAGGGGACAATTTGCATGTTAGCCTTTTATTATATAGGACTTTCCTTCAGCAATTACAACAACAAAAAAATACCCTTGAGGACTCCCAGGATGGGGAGCTCATAAAATTCTTCCCAGCTCAGTGCTGCCGACTCAGAAGTTCCCTGTAGTTCAGGGATGCTTGAGGTGAGCATTCATGATACAGACTTTTCTAAGACCAAACCAAACAGAATCTCTAGGCGGGCAGGTGACTGATGTCACAAAATAATTGTATCTATTAGATTTTTTTAACTAATATTATGTATCAGGCCCTGTTCTAAGTATTGAGAATGTAGCAGTGAACAAGGAAATGGCCCTTACCTCTGGCAGGAGGCGAGGGGTGGTGTGGGGGAGAAGGACAATAGACACCTTGAAAAATAAATGAGTCAAATAGTTTCAGTTACAGGTAAGTGCTGTGAAGAAATAAAAACAGGGTAGGGTGTAGGGAGGGCAGAAAGGCTCTCTTGGAAGTGACATTTAAGTTGAGATCTGAATGTTGGAACCTGGGGAAGATGTGAGGGGCAACAGTTTCCAGGAAAAGAGAAATGAAATTGCAAAGTCTTGGTCTACCTTTTTTCTATCTTCTCTTCTGCATTTGTGACCACAGAATTTAAATTTGGATGAGGAAAAGTTGTGTTTTCCCCCCAGGCAACAGCTGGAGGCCTTAATTGAACCTCAAACTGTATATAGGTAATAAACAACACCAGTGTTTGACTGATATAATGAAAGCTCAAGTTCTGGCCCAATATTAACAAAATAGTGATAGTGCATTTTAGCTAGATATGAGGTTTAGAACGAAGGAGGCAGATCATTGGATTGTGGGTAAAAGAACCCAGATTTGCTATTTCTTTCATTCATAGGAAACACTAAAATATAATTTGTATTTTGAGTCATATTTTTCAACTATGAAAGTAAGCATGCAAAGATCATTTATGGACAGTAGGTGTCAGACTATATCTGCAAACTAGTGGTTGAGTCTTTTCTCAACCTCACAAGTATTTGGAAAAGAAGGAAAAGGAGAGGCAGGCCTGGTGTGGCTGCTGTACCCTGGAGAAACAGAGCAGATGTTGAGGTAATGCAGGAATTACATCACAGACATGAAGGGAAATTTTATAAAAGTTAAGGTCACTCCACTCAGAAGATACATATACAGAAACACTCACTCCAGCCAAGAGTAAAGTCCCTTCAGTTTTTGATGTGTTCCTAGCTGACATACCACTTCCTGCCCACAAACACCACTGGGCACCTGATGCTATATAACCCACCCTTATACAGAACCTCAAATCAGCCCTTCCCATTCAAGTGAGAGCATCTACTTCCAATAATCGTTATGTGCCTCCTATGAGACTTACTTCCACAGATGACAACTATAAACTCTGGGCAAAATACATCTAATTGAAGATACTTGGAAGTGATCAAAAGCAGGCAGATACTAGAGGGGAATCAACAATTGGATAAAAGGGTGATTTTTATTTTTCCTGGCTCTTAGCCTGCAGGCATGTTCAAGTTTATGCCATGACGTAGCAGAGAGTGGGGATGAAGTAACTAACGTGTGTGGGGGG